GACAAAAAAGCGTCATTTTCTCAACGTTGTAACCCGATACACGTTTAATAGGAAACATGCACACATGAATCGTCCATTTGATTTATAAGACTGAGTCACTCGGAAAGATTTTACTGGGAAAGAAATTCTGGGATGAATTTTAGAAAGCGTTAGGCAAAACCAGTCCTTATATGATATATTAACATGTTTTGTCATTGTATGGTGTAAGCGACATATATATGAGGTTGATCCCCTCTTACCATTCACATTTCTCTTTGTCGACCACACCCACTGACCCCGCCCACTGGACCACGTCATGGTTAACCGCTTCACAAAACTAAAATCCCGTTTAAGTGAGTAGTTCCTACCTAAGGCCAGTTGGTGTCACCTTTATCGACAACTCAGTGTATAAAAAGAAGAGGTACATGGTTTTAGTGACTGTACTTGCGTCTCGATTATCCTTTGAAAACAAGAGACATTTTATGGCTCTTGTTTGAAAACTAATACGATAGTTGAAAATAAACAGGAACGTTTAATATGATAATAATAATTTTTTTTTTTTTTTTTGGGGGGGGGGGTAAAGAAGAGATACATGTGTTTAGTGACTTTATTTGTATCTTAATTTCCTTTTGAAAACAAGAGATATTTTATGGCTCTTTTTATAAAAAAAAAAAAAAAGTTAAAAAAAAACGGGGATGTTTAATATTAATAAAATAATTTTTTTTTTTTTTTTTTGGGGGGGGGGGACTATTCTTTCCGCTTCGCTTTGTCTCTCTCTTCAAAAATGTCTTTAAATAAAACATTCTGTAAACTACGATGACCACCACAACGGGTGACAGCTATGCAACTTGTGATAACATAGTTTCATCCTTCTGAAGTTTGTACGTTTTTAGTCGACTAGCTAGAACTTGTGCACGGAGAAGCTGTTAAGGAAAGTGAAAGAGTAACGAATCGTAATTTAGAGAGCATTGTAGGGAAAAACCAAACAACAACAACAAACAAACAAAGATTTCACCTGATTGCTTTTTCCTGAAGAGCTCTGTAAGTGTGATGTTACTATAAAGCCTCGGGACTGGCGTAATTTGATAATTAATGCAGATTCACTGATTGTTTTACGTTTTCCTTGGTCGCAGGAGGTTATTTCTGACGACGAGGAGGAACGCTTTTTTCGATTTGACCTTGATGGCCAGAAAGCAAAATTCAAGCTAACAAAAAGAGAGTGGGAACTCATAGACATCAAAGAATTCCCAAGTGGTGGTCGTCTGTTGGGTGGCGCCTGGACCACGATATTTAAGCGTGGGATAAGAAACAGCAACCCCTGGTGCACCTTGCGCTTCAAGAATAATCACGTGCGGGCGGCAAACTCCCGCAAAATGAATTCAGCGCCGTTTTTCCGAGGAGCTGGGGAGTGCAAGCGTGAAGAATGTAATATGAAGTTAAAGCTTACAATACAAGAGGAGAAAGGAAAATTTGTCATGGTAACGTACACAGGAAATGTCTGCCACAAAGTTTCACTCAGAGATGATGAGGAAGTAAAACCAAAAGATAGTAAATAAACTGGCCAAATTGTTAATACTTTGCGGTTCTAAATGAATAGCTTCGTGAACAGCAATTTCAAGACACTGTACAAAAGTGTCATGGCGAATTTGAACTGACAAGAAGCTTGGCTTTGCTTTTAGTAAGAAATTATATCGAAAAAATTGTTCGCAAGGAACGCGGAGTGTCTGAGTTGGCTAACAATGCTAGCTTCGTCGTAGGTTTTACTTTGAGCTGGGCGTTTACCCATCTTCGTATTCAGCAATGACATCGCTTATTGTACAATAATAATAATAATAATAATAATAATAATAATTAAGCTATGAATTTTTGTAGTTAATTTTGCATTCTGAACGAACGTGTGACAGTTTAACAAAGTCAAGTTATAATCGATAGGCGCATTTACCATTTGTGTCATGAAGGTCTCTTGTTCCTAACGTTTTGGCTGGATTTGGTTAGGGGATTTGTTGTTTTTTTTCTTTCACGAACAAAAAATGTAGATCTCCAGTGGAATCTACTCGTGTCCAATGGAAACCTTGTTAAGCATCCCATACAACATGACTGGGATTCTGAGAATCGCACGAATAGAAAATGTGATTGCCCAGTGGCATCTATTCTTGTCTAGGTAGGACTTTCCTCCTTTTCACCACTAGACTCCCGGGCCGAGTTGTTCAAAGCTGGGTTAAGATAACCCAGGGATATTGAGAAATTTGAATTCAGATGTTAAAGCTTAACAGCAAACTCAGTTTAATTCTTTTTGTCTACACCTTTAAGATTGGATGCTCCTTAAAAAGTAAAGAAAATGATGCGAGAAAATGCTTTTGAACAAAAGAAAAAAAAAACCTGGATTAAAATTTAGCCCCGAGTTAGCGCTAATCGGCTTTCAAACAACTGGGCCACGGTTTTCTAGTGGAAAGCAAGGGTAAACGACTAGAGTATCGTTGACAGTATTGGACAACCCTCTGTACATGAGGTGATTATGTCGACCAAGAGGTCCTAATAATAGCTTAATAATAGTCCTATTATGATCTTCTTTGACGATTTACTGAGCAGACCATACAAAGTTTTAACTCATGTGGCCAGAATCCATGCAAATATATTAGAACAAAATAAAGAGGGTTCAACTCCCGAAAGCGGGCAACAATGTAACATGGCCCATGTTCCATTGTTTTGGAACACCAAAACAGATATGGCCGCCATTGGAAGTACCATAGTTTCTTTTGACTGGAGCATTGCGAACCAAACTTATCGTTGGTGGGTTTCGATTCTTTACATCATTAGCATTGTTTGTGTTAGAAACTATTCCTTCAGCTGTCTGGCATACCGATCGGTTGCGGTATTGGCTGATTTTAGGCANTCTTTTGACTGGAGCATTGCGAACCAAACTTATCGTTGGTGGGTTTCGATTCTTTACATCATTAGCATTGTTTGTGTTAGAAACTATTCCTTCAGCTGTCTGGCATACCGATCGGTTGCGGTATTGGCTGATTTTAGGCAACTACAGTCCTAGAATCCCAACTCTAAGTGTCCTTATCAATTTAGGGTTGGGTCGTTTGATGATTTCCTCTTGCCTTACGAGAGTATCAGGGATAGTGTCGGAAAATAAAATTAATGTACCTTGTCCCAGAGCGGAATACGCATTCTTAAGGAAACTTATAACCTAGTTAATCTTGTTTTCGATGGTCAATAGCATCCTTAGATAACACTTTAATAGCGCCATCTAACTGTTGTGTTGGAATTGAAGACAGGTGGCTTGCCATGTTGTAGGAAATGACCGAGAGTGGCCTCAAATAATCATTCGTCCTAAGGCAGAACAGCTGTAGATTTAATTTCAAGGCTGGGTTCTTTATCAGCTGACTGTTTCTTGGATTTCGTGACGTTTACTATACTAACGAATAAGGAAACCTTTAGAGACAACAACAGAGGATAAATTCTCTTTCGCTTAGGTGTAATCGACGTTTAGTAATGGGCTGTTTCGATCGGCCATTGTAAATACTGTGTTAAACTTTTTGCTTTGAGAGTAGTGTGAGTCAAAAGCGTCGTATAGCTACCGGCTATAACGCTGCCAACAATTTTTAGAATCAACATCTGCCAGCCGCGAACACAATTCGTGACACAAAAATCATAGACTACCACGGTGGTACTAAGTAATAGTCCAGCTCAGTAAATGAATCGGCACCATTGCCTGATGAAGACCAGCAGCAGGCGGCGGCGAATAAAGGAGCTGTGTCCTGAAATATATCAAAATTTGGATATTGGGAACAGTCACCAAATTGAGTAAACCATTAAAATAACTCCTCAGAATATTAAAAGAAAATATAAATAACACAGCACATACAATATAGGAGGCACGGATGACGACTGACACCGATTGCAATTGTGAATTTTTGAAAACTTGTTATCCTTACAGTTTTTCAAAGATCATTTTTTTTGTCTGTAACTTTGATGTAACACGAAGCAGTGATTTGCCATTTGCAACTAGTTTCTTTCCTAAATTCAAGTTCCATTGCGAATAAGGACTTGCAATTGGCAATAGTAACAAAATGATTTTAGACAGTCGTGACACAGCCCTTTTAATGACAAAGTAACCGTATCGTAAAAAAAATATATATAAACGAGCCTATCATGCACACACCAACATCAACGATATCTTTCATTTAGGTTTCACTGATTTGGCTCAAAGGGTGTGAAACCTGAAACCTAACAACAACACTTCTGTGCATTTCAATTGTGGATACTATTTAACAATTATTCTTCGAGCCCGAATGGGCTCTGAGGCCATGACGGCGAGAGGAATAATTGTTTAAGTAAAATCCAACTAGCTGGTCAAAAATATCGAGAATAAAAAAATTTTAGCTAGTTAAAAGCTAGACTTTAATCCTTTTTTGCCGCCAAAAAGCCCGCTCTTTTCGCTACTAGGGGGCTATAACATATAGCCTAGTAGTAGCTCAACCAATCAGAACGTAGCATTGATAATGACCACTAGTTGGATTTTACTAAAAAGAGTAAACAATAATTGCTTGAAATAAAATGAGTGGGGTCTGAATGAATGAGTTGGCGTAGAAATCGTAAGCTTAACAAACAGCAGAAATATAATTTAATCATTGAGATTCTAAGATTTCAAATCCAGATTCACGTATAAAAACAGGCCGAGATTCTCTTTACAAGGTTAAGGATTAATAGAAAGTATTGAGATGCCTTTATTTAAATCACCAATGTTGCACTAATTGTACTACAACTGAATTTATTGTAAGTCACTCAAATTACAAATCAAAATTACATTACATTGTACCTAACAAAGTAATACTATTTTAGTGTAGCTATTGTGATGCAACATTTTATTAACTACTGACTTCCATGGTTTTCAGCTAGCTTATCTGCTTTGTTGTGGCTTACTATTACTTGGCAAACCGAGCTGCAGGCCATTTGCACTAAGAGGTATGTGACATCGCTTTTATGAATTGAAAGTTATATGATTTTGCCTTCGAAAAACGATTAGTGGGTCATATCTTAAACAAAATAATGGTGATTTGCTGTTTCAAACCCGAACCATTTTCTTAAAATAAATAAGTTCGTAAATGGTCACGTGACCAAAATGTGATTTTCAAAGAAAATGTTAAAAAGATGATGTGATAACATTTACAGCACATCTGAGCGTAAATATGAAACGTTGAACAAGATATAAGCAAGAAGTAGTTTTGGCCGCCATGTTGGAGGGCAAAAGCATGCCCTCCAACATGGCGGCAATACAAATCATACTACTTTGCTGAAAAATCAAAGTGCCATAAAATATCTCCCTTAAATGCGTTTCCTCTCAAATTTCCGGTGTAAGATAATTTTTGTGTGCTCTAACAATTTTTGTCATCAGCAAGATTCCAACTCATTGTTTAAAGGAAGCATTGGTCACGTGACCTCTTAGTGCAAGTGGCCTATTGAATATAATAAAAACGTGCACGTGTCAGTTGCATAATTGTGGTCATCTTTCGTTAAACTTATTGCTGCGATTCCTTTTTACTTGAAGAAAAAAGCTCAAGAATGAGCAGGTGGTGTTCTACTTTTCTGATAATAGAGCACCGTCTCCCTTTGACTGAATTGAGATGTAAAGACAATCTTGAGCCAGTGCTTTGGAAATCGATTAAAATACTTAATTTTGGCCTTGACACATGCGTTATTTTGCTGGAAATCGGGTCTTCAGCTAGTAACGAGAAAATGAGCAATTCCAGTATCACGTTTGTATAAAACAGGCTTCCGACGATCGCGACGTTATTAGTTACCAGCCAATTTTCTCCGAGTTTAACTTGAAACGCGTTGAAGGCTGTTAGATGAATTCGCGCTCTATTGTAAAATCGTAAAGTTATGTCTAGTTTAGGTTATTGGTTATGAAAACTCGTTTATGGATCCCAATCTTCGACCACTTCATACAACTCATCTACGTAAATATCCACGTTGATCAGTTTCTGAAGATAGAAAAATTCAAAAACTAAGTCGGTTATGTGCTATTGAGTGGTCTAAAACAATCAGACAGTTACAAAAGCGAATATGATGCAGTCGAAGCGCAATAAATTCCGTTTTGATTGATAGAGATAAACCTAGTTTACTTTATGCTGATTTTCCATGTCTTTCAGTTGCGTTCTTAAAGCATCAAATGACGGCCTATCCTCCCATTCTTTTTCCCAACAGTTCATCATAATTTGATACCTGAAAAATATAAGAACTTCCCGTCTTAATTCTTCGAAAAACAATGATCACATTGGGCACCTTGGGGTAACGGTAGATTAGGCGAGCTGTTAAGTGTACCAAAAATAGATGGGTTATGCTATATTTACACCCTAATGTAGAGGTGGATCATGGTATCTCTTTTCTTACCTTACATCAATTATTGCAGTTTAATATGGGCATCTACTTATGCTTCTTACCTTAAACCCCTTTATGTACTTCAAAAGAAAGCCGTTCGTGTAATTACTTTTTCTCCTCCGCGCACATCCTCTAAGCCCCTTTTTTCTAAGCATAATATTCTTTCACTCTACTCTGTCTATAAATTCCATGTTGCTTGTTTTGTATTCTCACATTTTAATAGCCTTTTACCTACTCCTGTTTCCTCGATCCTTCATTTTAATTCTGAATATCACGATTATATGACTCGTTCACGTTTTAATCTGCATAAAACCTGTCATAAGTACCAATTTGCTATCACTTGGCAAGCTCCTATTATTTGGAATGATATTCCGTTAACTGTGCGCAATAATCTCACAGTAAGTAACTTTAAAAAAAACTTAAGACTGTATTTTTCTGAGTAGTTAATCAGCCTATGCATAATATGTACACCTTATGGGACTATACTAGGTGTATTTGTTTGTAGTTGTTTGTGTGGTTTATAGGAATTATTAGGAATAATAATAGGTTTCTAGGAATTATTAGTTGTTTAAATATTTGAAATTAGTTGCCACAGTAAGTAACTTTAAAAAAAACGTAAGACTGTATTTTTCTGAGTAGTTAATTAGCCTATGCATAATATGTACACCTGATGGGACTACACTAGGTGTATTTGTTTGTAGTTGTTTGTGTGGTTTATAGGAATTATTAGTCGTTTGTGTGGTTTATAGGAATTATTAGGAATAATAATAGGTTTCTAGGAATTATTAGTTGTTTAAATATTTGAAATTAGTTGCCAAGTATTGTATTTTAGTTGTAAGGTTTTCTAACTGACCTTTTCTTTCTTGATCTAATTGTATTGTAATTATTTTAGTTAAAGCCTTCTTCTATTCCTGTAAATTCTTCACGTCTTTTTTTTGCTGACCTCAGGCCATTTAAGCCCCCGGCTTTGGCTGTTCTTGTGTATTTTTCTTCTTCCAGGAAATGATTAATTAAACGTATTATTATTAAACGTATTATTACAAGCTTCGGACATCGACTGTTGTGCCAAATACCAACGCTTCCTGAAAGCCCTGTAGCAACGAAGGTCTTCAGGAAGTTCGTCCGATCTCCAGGGAGATCTCTTTGTGACGTAATTGACGAAGCAATGTCACGTGTTATTTGAAATCGCGTCTCACGTGTTTTTTCGTTGAGCAACATTTGTAGTTCAGGATCACTGATGGAAGCAAACCGTTCCAAAAAACGTTTAACAAAATATGCATATTTAATTAGGTAGTCCTGCCTCAAGTGGCCTGAGTAGGTCTATTAAGGCTCTAGGATAACACTTAGTTTAATATAACTGATTAAAAACACTTGTAAATGCCCGAGAAATTTGAAGTCAATCAGTAACCCTGTAATTTAAAGTCGTTTGTCATTATTTTGTTAAGGAATTTTGTCCTTTCGTATAACAATTTATTCCCTGTACTTCAGTACAAAACTTTCTAAATTTCATCCGCTTGACTCTAATTTTCTTTATTTCAAAACTATAGGGCTCGTATGGTTTTTCTTATTGATTTTATATTATTGTGAAATCTTTACCATTTTTGCTATAGAACATCATCAGGAATCTTTGATAATCTATAACCTTTCTATGTAGCTATTTATTAAGTGTTGTCAGTGAGCTAAGAAATTATTAATAAACCAACCCAGCGAGTTTTTATCTCCGTTCGTTTGTTAATAGACAGTACATATACGTGCATGCATACATGCTGAAAAATCAAAGTATCAAATAAACATAGAAGACCTTAAACAACGGATTTCTTAGGAGCCCTATAGCCTTCAAATGATCATACTGTCACAAAATTTTGGCTGCTTATTTTTTGGGTTTACAAAAAAAGAATTTTACTTTGGAAAAAGGAATATTAATTTTACGTACACATCGCTTTTAATTTTATATCTTCGATTGTGCAGTGCCTCATATATAAGCTGTCCATTTTAACGGCAGTGGACGACTCTAGAAATTTAAAAAAGGGGGTTACATATTGGTTAAAAGCTAACACATCACGAAACTTCTGTTTTCAATTGCAGAAAAATTGAAATATGTTATTTTCCTCAGGTGTTGATTCTTCGTAATGTGGCTATGGTACTTGAATACTTCAATGAAACGTTGTCGAGGGCCATAAGAGGCATCACTTACTTTTTCCCTGTTTACTCAAGGTTGACGATTAAGACATTTTCAAAGGGTTTTCCAAGGAAATCTTACACATACATCGTTCACGGATTCCATTTTTAGACACAACACTTTTTTCAATTCCCTGCAGCAGAGAAAAGAGACCTCCGCTAGCAAGGATTTTTTTTTCTATCATTTTACAGACACGTTTACAATTATAATATTTAGATTTAGCCAGGGCCAAAAGCGAAGCTCCTATTAAATCAAATTTATAATTTAAATCAAACAATAAACTTGTATTCCTCAAGTCAGTTAACTTTAGAGCACATTCATGTGACTTTTGAGGGAAAGGCTAAGGGATTTTAGAGAAGAATAATTGGCAAACAGTCCAAGCTAAGAGTGAACTTAATCTCACATCGATGTACACCCAAAAATAGCATAGCCACAATGGCTCATGATCACAGTAGATTAGGCCTGGAAAACAAATACTGAAGATAAAATTTGAACTGAGGTAGTTTGGTACCTGACCTGTCATAGATTTAAAGGCCAAGATGGCGTCTCTTAGATACAGGTGGGACTTAACTGGTATCCATCTCAGGTCTTTCAGGGCTGGAAAATACGTGGTCAAATTTCCTTGTCCCAGAAACTATGCGAGCAGCGAAATTCTGCACTCCTTGCAGTTTGCGTATATTGCTGGCAGAAGTATTCGAACAGACGGACGAGCAGTAATACAACTTATATTACTAAACACGAGAGAATTAATTATTGTAACAAGTATGTCTTTTCTCATGTATGTTTATATGCAATAGTATCAAAACTATAAACGTTAGAAAGAAAAAGATAGTTCAAATGAGGCCTTCGACTGTTGAAATTATAAACAATAATTAAATTCCGAGCAACAGCGTCATCAGGGATAAGAAAAATGTCTCGCGCGGTAATATACGTAAGAAAAAATTGGTGTAAAGTGAAACGTGTGAAAAGCGAAAGAATGGGGCGGAATGTATCAGAGATATAAAAATGTAAACTTGAATAAAATACAAAGATCTAATGAGCGAGTGTCACAGGACAAAGAGTCTCTTGAAAGGCATAATGATAGTCTGAAAAACAAAAGGTCCGCAGATTCGTTGAATTCCTCGCGGGAGTTTTGGGCTGCCTCAATGTAAATCGAGCAGCAAAAAAAACATGCTGGTTGACAAAATCTCTCGAATAAATTCTAAAATAAAAGGTCCGCAAATACGTTGCATTCCTCACGGGAGGTGAGGACTGGCTCAATGTAAATCGACCTGGGAAGAACACGCTGATTCTGATAAAAGTTTTGCGAACAACCGTATGCCTTGATCAACTACCGCCTAAAATTCAATTCACAAAGGAAAAGAGAACACTGAAACCCTGGGTCTGAGTCGAGAAGCGAACACGCTACCTCAATGTAAATCGAGCTGCAAAGAAAGAGCTGGTTCTGACACAAATTTGAGCGTAAAATCCTAAAAAGCTCTTGCTACCAGAGTACCAATTGCCCTTTCAAACTAGAAATCGTATCAAAGCTTGCTCACCTGTTAGGTCCTCTTGAATAGACAACGAACAGCTGCACACTGAGTCACCCAATTTCGGACAAGTTGTAAATACAAGACCATGACGTCACTACCCAAATATGGGGTCTTACTTACACCCAAATATGATCAAAAATGCAAATTTTAGAGCGTTACGCAGAATTTGAGAGTTTTTGCCTACATTGCGCGGCGCTTCTTAGCTCGGTTGCCTCGTTGGCAATGAAATTTCTTGTTACTTTTAAGATTTTTGCGAAATTTGAGGATTTCTTGAGGCCTTTCTTGGCCTTTAGTAAGTCTAGAATTTTGTTAAATTTGTTATTCTTGCTATTTTTGCCATTTTGCAAGTGAGTGTCAATAGTTATATAATGTCATTTTATGCCGTTTTGGTGCCTAGTTAGTACATACTAATCCTGCATACTAATTAAGGGCTTAGTCACTGCCTTCCTGCATATTAATTATGTGCCTAGTCAGTGTTTAGCTAGCTAGGAAAAAAGTGGGTTCCTCAATACTAATAAGTGAGTTCCTCCATATGTAATGAGCGTGTCTCTTATACAATAAGAACAGTAGGGTTGCCTAGACTTGCCCTTTAAGTAACTTTAGCCCGGTTTCTAATAGGAATAGGAGGAGCCATCACCTAGCAACGAGAGAAACGGCTTAAGTCTTGTTATCTAGTGCTAAAAATCGGATATATAAACAAAACACACACACATACAACAGTGGAACTGAAAACTCTTTATTTGAATTTCAACTGACAATTGCCAAACCCTTTTTCTCAGTTCTATGTCGAGGGAACGACTAACTATTGGAGTCTCAGCGTTTGGTGAGTTTTAATCGCCTTCTTTCCGTTAGTTAGTTAATTAAACGTGTTAACAAGCCCTCCGCTGCATAAAAATTAGTTCAGCTCTGCAGTAAAAACCCCAAAGGAGAAACTTGACGTATTAGTATAAAAAACACAAAACACTAAAAAAAAGGAAGGAGAAAGGGGGTTAGGCGAATGCGAAATCGTACTGATTTATCGGGCAAAACATGAAAACGAGGTCGAAGTGCAGCGAAGCGAAAAACTGCCTGTCAAGCAAAAATGTCGATCTTTGTTCACCTGACTCTGTAGAAAGCATTGTACAGGGCATAAAATTTCTATAGAGGGAAACAGGTGATTCTAAAGTAAACTATTACTCTTTGTTTCTTAAATAGTAAAGACACACGCACACACACCGTAAGATTCTTTTATGTCTTTTATTCTAGAAGGTCCAAACGATTAATTGTACAGAGAGCATATTGGAAGCTAACTAACGTATTTACACCATTAACATCTTGAAATAAATTGTTCGGCTTAAATGCACTGTGTCTTTCAACTTGGAGCGCTTAATTTTATAGTTCACAGTACAGTCTCTCACAAGTAGGAAATATTATCACAACTAGTATAGTCGGTTTTTGGATGGAATATATTAATATTGTACTAACATATCGTCATCCAGTTTTAAAGTTTCCCTCGGACTCTTCTATTCTTTACCGCCGTCTTAGACAGAGACGTTTTATTCCGTTTTACTTTGGTCTTGACTGCTTTCCCCATTTGGTGCTGTCTTGGCTGTGACAATTCGTATCTCCTTACTCTCCTGTTCTTGTGGCAAATTGTTTTCATCTTTTTTAATTCCATAGACGACAAATATAACTCGGAAAAATTGTTTCCTTAGCAAAGCAATTGCGAGAGAGAGCGCGTTCAGTAAACTGTCCGCTTTTTTTGAACACATAATAGATTGTTGACTATCCAATCAGGGTTAAAAGAGACCGGGCAAGCCTATTGTTTTAATCGTTTAAGAGATATTACATATGGAGGAAGGCAATTATTACTATGGAGGAACGCATTTTTACCTAGCTAGCTAGACACTAACTAGGAACATAATTGATATGCAGGAAGGCAGTGACTAGGCACTTAATTTGTATGCAGGACACTTATAATAGTATGGAGAAAGACAGTTTTTAGTATGCAGGAAGACACTTCTACATATTAATAAAGGGAAGACAGAGGAAGACACCAAAAAGGCTTAAATCATCCCTGTATCACTATACTAGTGTTTGAAAAAAGTTTCTTGTGAATAATTTCTTTGCTAAAATGCGAAAAAGATCTTGGCTACCCAATTTTTGCGAATGTGTTCAATCCTAGACATATCTCTCAAAATGCGTCACAATGCCCGACAAAGTGATAATAACCTTGTTTACTCAGTATATCAAACGTTTCGGGTTTTCCTCGGCGCTTTGAGGCTCTATCTTGCAAACATTTTCTAGGAAAACAGAGATGGAATTTTGCATAAAACGGACTGCAAGAAGATAAACTGAGCAGAGTAAATGGCGATATGAAGAGGAAGAACTATTCAAAGAACTATTCAAAAACAACCGAGTGACTTAAATCCTCATTTATATCAAGGCATGTGTTCAAAACAAGGCCCAACTCTGCGCGAGTTCTGCTTGCATTTCTGGTTACGTACTTTCCAAAAAAGGAACAGATTTAAAATATAAACAAACAACTGTGTTGGATAAATCTGGCCACGGTTGTGGCAGGTTTAATGAAATCAAAGCTAACAGAATCACAACACGTCGATATATGTAAACTGATTAACCTACACTGAATAAAAAATGGGGCAACAAAAATAATACTAACGAAAAGTCTTTAGAGAACATGTAGAGTCCACAACGTAAAAGAACTAGAAGTGAATACTGCCTAGTTCCTCAGCGGGGATTCTCATTTTAACGGACTGTTGCGATCACGATCACTATAAATATTACAACGGCACATTTAGGTCTGTTTACATCTTCTGTGTTTGTATGTTTTGACTATTCCAATAAATGTCGACATTTCATTGTTAGTCAGGTGATTTTACTGCAATGAGCGACGTTAACTTTGTAGAAAACCGATCAAACCGTGTCTCCTGGAGTACAAATACCTAGAGATATTTGTACTCGTTTTGAGCGTTATTTGTACTCTACTGATTGAAGTTGAATAATAATTCCAGATATTCCACATCTGGCCTTAATTACCTCGGCTGACGTTCTAACAGCGAATGCTGTTGTAGTGTCAGCCATTTCTCGTTTACAAACTGCCGTATGCTATTATATGTTTCCACTAACTTCTAGAATATAAATCCCCCTTTTGGTATTAAATTGGAAAAATATGGGATGCGGATTAAGAAATCAAACTGAAAGAAGTCATACTAACATGAAAAAAAGGAGCCTGGGATCGCCCCAAGTAAGGTGATCAAGCCAGTCTTGGATTCTGGATTCTACGGTGTGGATTCCAGATTCCAGGTAGTGTACTGCGGATTCCTTGTCAGTGGAACTGGGATTCAGGATTACAAAGCTCAGGATTTCGGATTCCACATGCAAAGAATTTCCCAGAGTCTAGAATCCGGATTTCCTTACATGGGGCGACTTCAAGGAAGCCAGTTGGACCTTGGGAGTTAAATATAAAGAAATGTTCAGTTACGACCAACGTTCTTCCTATTTTGTAGGCAATATTAGGATAGAGAAAGTTTTTATTAAAAGCAAATGCCGTAGAAAACTACATAAAAGGTCTTAACGGAATCTTTAATTATTTTCTAGACTTAGCGTCCAAGAATGTATCCTCTACAACGGTCGCGCTTCCTCAGGACGCAAATAAAGTATCGAGTAAGTTTAAATTTGTGTAACCATTAGGTCTATGACATTGATAATTATTTGTCAAAAGTATGGAGGAAACTCTTACCATGTCAGACGAAGAATTACCACCACTTTATTTTCAAGGGTGCCCAGACGCGGTAATAATATCGTCAGTACGAGTAAGGCTTAGGCCAAACGTGGATTTTTTCATGAGACGGGCAAAACTATGGGCAAATTAAATTCATGAAAAGTTCGACATCTGTTTTAGTCAAGTTCTAACAAGCTTGGGAGACTGGAAAGCAATGGCGGTGTGAAGACGTGTCGAAAGACTGTCCGCCTAACACTACTCTTTTGCCGTGGATGATTTAATGGAGGAATTTTTAAAGTTATTGCTAAGTAAAAGAAGAACAAGACAGCTATCCTCCGATAGTTCTCTAGATACCTCGCCAGAACCAAAGAAACTTAAAGAGTGTGATAGTTCTTACTCTTCCGAAGGCGAACGCGAAGAAGAAGGTGACGATATTATTATTATTATATTCTATCTGCTCTGAATATGGCTGAAGGCCTTCAAAAACCACTGTAAGATATTCTTAAGAAGCTTGAAAAGCTGGATGCCATCGAAGAAGCAGTGAATAACCTCGGGAAGTCTTTCGGGAAGTTAGAAGGAAGATGCGTACGCTACCACCAAGCGTGATGTTGAAGATCTTAAAGAAAGTTTAAACGCAAACGAAACAGATAAAAAGACGACAGCCGAGAGAATACAAAAGCTCGAAGACAACACAAAATCGAGCCTAGCGGCCCTACAGAAAGAGAATGATGAGCTCCGTTCCAATTTTAAACTGATCGAGGATAAGAACTTATATCTGGAAGCATATTCTAGGCGCCAAAACATTAAGTTTGAAAACATTCCAGAAGAAGAAACGAACGGAGATGGCGCTGCGCACCTTCCTGGAAACGGAATTGGTTTTTGGCGACGCTGCCAATGTTGAAATACAGCGAGTTCATCGTCTAGGAAAAAAGAGAGGGGAAAGTCCCAGACCCATACCTGCTAGATTCCTACGATATAAGGACTGTGAAAAGCTTCTTCGCTGGGACATCGTCTACCAGGAACAAACTACAAAATGTACCAAGATCTTCCGTTTGAGATCGTCGAACGTAGGAGAGCACAGATGGAAACCTTCAAAAAAGCAAGACCCAACAACATTCCCGCAGCCTTCAGCAAAGCCCAGCCTGACAAACTGTTCATAAGAGGAAAATTGTGGCCTTTTGGAATGCCATTAGAACTGTGAGTTTAATAACACAAGTCTTAAACATTCAAGCTTTAACTTTTAGTATTTTTTCTTCAACAAATTCAATTATGATAGGGGGACGGGACGCTTCTGTTCGGAATACATCTCTTTTCTTAAACTTTGCTTGCCTTCTCGACTCTCGAAACTAAGCAAGCTAGTTTTCCACACAAATGCCGCTCAGTTAGTGATCTTTTTTATTTCTTTTGGTGAGTACATTTACATGTATGTATTCTTATTTTTTTTTGCTTTTGTAGCGTATGTAATCCGTATTGTATAAGTAGTGCAAGTAGCTGTTATTTTTTATATATATGTAAAGCGTGGTGTATAGCACTGTTAGTAGCGTAAGTATCTCATTGTAAGTAAGTATTGCAAGTTTTGTATTGTAAGTAGAGTATAGTTCTGTTAGTAGCGTAAGCACCATACATTGTAAGTAAGTATTGTAAGTTAGTACTTTGTAATTGAAAGTGTTTTAATTAAATTAAATAATTATAAAAAAGGTTCTAACAAGCTCCATCCGTCTGCTTCAGACAAACATCAGATTCCCATTGGAAAAATTCCATAAGAACGGTAAATTTGCGTGAAGTCACCAGACCTGCTTGTATAAAGCTGTAAAAAAATGCAAAATAGAAAGTAGGATGAGAGTTTTTTGAACTTTTTCTTTGCTGACAGATGCGAAGATCTCTTCCATAGAAATATGATGCGTCTCGGCATATTTAGGCAATGAGCTCGCCGGTCTAGAAATGCCTCTGGGCCAAGTTTCGGAAATCATAAGGTCAAAAGGAAAAAGCTACCGTCTGAAATTCTGTCCAGCTAAACTATAATTGTTTATAGTTTAATAGAGTTGCGTGTGACGTTACGTATTAAGTTATTGGCCTTGTTTTTGCTTTAGGTGACTCAAAACGGACAACTGTTGGCCCCTCAGTGGCAGAAAACGTGCTGGTTGTGATTTTTGTCATCATCATCATCATATGATTGCAAACCTGTGATCAGGTGTTCCTTTTCTTTCAAGGGAGCGCGAAAGTCAGCGGACAGGCAAAGGGGAGAAACTCGGAAACTTTTTCCCATCGCCTCCCAAACTAAAATAAGAGAAGAAGGACCGCCGCATTACAGGTTAAAGCCACTTCAGAATTACTTAAAGCCACATTATCGATGTAAGCCTTGGCCACCTATTTTATATGAAATTTAGTGAGTTTCCAGTTGCATGTAACTTTTAACACATATCCATATAAATACTTTTGTGAGTTTGATGAAGAGGCCAAGAATATCTCAAAAAAGGAACTATTTCTATGCTTCATTAAGGTAGTTTCCTAAATTAACATGCCTGTCTCAAATGAATACCTGCAGGATTGCAAACTCATGCTGTTGTACCCGGTGTTTTTTTAATAGCTACAGGCCTGTTTATCACGTCCTGGTTTACTAGGAAAGGGTTTTCAATCTTTTCAATTCTTGAAAGCCATGTATCTTTCCTGTATAGCTTAAGTTATTAAACCACAAATAAACGCTTGAGAGGCTTATTACAGCTTTCTCTTTTAGGTGGGCCGTTTATTCGAAGACTGGCCTTCAATTGATTAAACAGGGCATATTGCCTAGGAATCGTTTTGTTAGTTAGTTAAGGTGAAACATCACTCAGACAAATTTTAACTTAAGCGTTTTGGAAACTCCGTAGTAGTTCGTTAGTTTTAAGGCTTTTTCAACACAAACTTAGCCTAGAGAGGGTGAACGTGCTGTCTGCTATATTAAACAGGGCACAAAGGCTTATTGAGCTAAGGGCTGTTCTCTGTTCTCGTTTGTTGGGGTGGGGGAGAGGAGTAATTACAATTTGCGATTGACGCGTCACAAAGGGCTTACAAGGCAAAACGAGCATTGCAGATTTTTGTGAACCAGTCAACTTGATAAGAAATAGAGCACAAACAGCGGTGATAAACATATTCAACGTACTCATTTTTCTAAACTTCACCACTGACACAACAGCAAGTGGGATCATTTTGATATCTTAGCTTCAGGAAAAACTGATTATCACTGTTAAATCAAAGAAACATTGCTTACACAAGAACTAAAGCCAGCTTTCAATATAAACGTCAGTAGCGAGAAGCTGATGCTTTATGAATTAGCTGTTTATGCCCTCTCTTCCTGCCTCAACAGCTGAACCCCAATTTGTGCTGCACTGCCTGAGCTCTGTTTACTGGGCAACAACACAACAATGCAAATGGCCTTATATGGCTCTGGACAAACTGTGGTCCATGGCTGCTTTTCTTGAATAATAAATTCCATCATTTAATTCTGATGAAATAAATTTTCCCAGTAAAGGTGCGGGCCAAAGCAAAAAGGCGAGCAAATGGAATTACAAGCTGCAGAGGATGGGACACGGGGAGGAGGCGGGAGTTGAAAGAAACTTTTTCACCGCAATCAATCAAGGCGAATGTCGAGACATTGACTGTTAAACGCCCATGTTCATCCAAGCGGCTTTACACGCTTGTGTTTTTTGTTTTGAACCGCTACTTTTGTCAAATTTAGTGTTTTCATTGGGCAGAGTGTTCGCTCTTTTCACGCTTGGCCGAAGTGTGACTCTACACGTACTGAGGACGGCGATTTACACGAAATCATTTTTCTGGAGTACAGGGCGCGCAAAGCCACTTGGGTTGAACATGGGCCTATAAGTTACATGAACTACTCACGACCCCAGAGGGGGATTCCGTAATTACAATTGACTCCTCTCCAGTGCCCAGTACCAATCGGCCATAAAAACACCAGGCATAAAAGAGAAGACATAAAAATCCTATTTGCGGGCAAATATTTCATTTCTTTTTATAGATTAACTGTTAAGTTTTGTGCTCGGTCCCACTCCCTTTTCACTATTACATAAGTATAGTTTTCAAAATTCGAACGGTACTTTTTAAAATGCATTTTGAGTAGCATACGAAACGTCAAGTTTATAAAAATGAGTAAGTTGAATATGTTTATCACCGCTGTTTGTGTTCTTTAAACGGTTTTCAGATTTTGAACGGGGGTTTTTTCTTCCGGAAAAATGCAATTAGTATCGAAGAGGAACCATACCTAAGGATCACATAGCCAAAAATGTAACTAAAATCTTAATGACTGTAGAGACATATCCCAATTTAACCGGACAGCCAGCTCAAAAATTATATTTCATTCCGAGGCCAAACCTATATAGCGTAAATTACTAATGGAAGTACCCGCTCCTCCCCACAGAGCTTGTAATTGTAAAACCAACAAAGTTAACCACTTGAGCAGTAACTATATGAAATTTCTCCATCCTACGGTGTTATTTGAATTGGGAATTATGTTTAAATAAAGTAATGGCTTAACTGTTCCAATATCTTTGTTTCATATTTAAAGTGCTTACTTTTAGATACAAATTTTGGTGCTAAGAATAGTTCACTTAAACGATGGAGACATTTGACTACAACTACCAGAATTCATTTTGTTCTGGCTTTCTTATTTAAATTTGTCCCGTTGAGGTTAAAAATAAAATTTAAAAAGGCGCCAATTTGCACCAGTAAAACAAAAAATTGAACGATTCTGGTAGTTGTGGTAAAATGACGTCATCATGCAATTGTTTTATTTCGGCGAATATTTACATAGCAATTTTAAAAAGACATAAAATTGAAGGCAAGGCTGATCGAACAGCTGCAAAGTGCAATAGATAATATAGAATATAGCACGCAATTGCTGTGAATATTGTGTCAAACAAAATGGAGCCACATTACTTTGGTGTAAGTCTTAGGGTAATGTAGCCTGCAAAGCAGGCGGATTTTGCAGCGCGATCATGATTTTTTTTTCCGGGAATAATGCTATCCCACCATCTAAGACGTTAAATCTACCAGAGAGTTGGGGCGAGTCAAAAACTGATTTCAATTGAGAGGATGATAGGATTACTGCGCTTTTCACAAACACGCGAACTCTAAGTTCAAAAGCCGCCTTGACAATTGCGTCTTTCGCTGCTGTCAATCATAATTACGATCAGAAGCAAAGAACCTTGAAACACAGAGAGACACAAAACGGATCGAAATCCACCAATCACAAATACCAAACCATGACCTTTTGAACGCGTTGAAGTGAATTTCTATTTTTTAATAGGTCCGCTAAGATGATTGACGGCAGCGAAAAACGCAAACGGCAGTTTACTTTTGAACTTCAGAATTCGCGTGTTTTTGAAAAGCGCAGTAAAATAGAGCAGAAGGAGGGGGTGGGGAGGAAAAAGTACGCCTGCCCGTAGTTGCCCGTAGCCATTAGGGACTTTAAGATCGAACGATGCGACGGCAACGAGCTCGAGAACTTCGCTTAAAAAGTGGATTGGCGTTCTTTCAGTCTTTATAGCGATTATTCCTACCCACTTACTTTGTCAAATGTAGGCGAACCCTCCTTAAGCTGAATTTCAAGTCACTTTATCCAAGCTCCTGAGAAAGAGAAGTAAAATTTGGTCGTCACCTGTTTAAGTAATGCTCAGGGTAAGGTGGATAGCAATTTCTTTTGTTAAACCTATATGATCGAAGGCCGTTTACGCAGTAAAATACATTTACACTCCACTTTGAAAGGGTGTTTTTTTGTGTTAAAAGATTTTGACCAATCACAAGAGTTGAAAACAATAGCCAAGAAAAGTTTACAATTTAACATGTTCCCCACATAGGATTTCTTTGTTCTTCAAACTGAGACCAGATTTTGTTATATGGAAGATGGTTGGAAAGTAAGGATGAATATATGTACCGCTTTATGAAGTTTTGTTAACTTTTGCTGTTTAAGCCAATCAGAAGTAAGTACAGACAATAGAAAAGTTAACACCTTTTTTTGAATTCCAACACGTTCGTTGCCGTTGTTGCTATCGTTCTTAACTGGACCGTTTCTTAAGTCCTCCAATCGTCCTCCCTATAAAACGCGAAAAAAGGCATTTTCACGTAGTAGTGGTGCAAAAACGGGGAAGAAATATACAAAAAAGTGTGATGCACGTGCGAAGTTGTTGTTTGCTTATTAAACCTACTGTTTTTTTTTTTACTTTCTTGTTGCCATCCCCTTCATTGAATTCTTCTCACTGAAGCAGTATGTAAAAGGTTTTGAAAGGATTCACGCCTGTGAACATGTGCGGCCTGTCACCCTTGCAATTTTTAGCGGAGCTCCTCGCGTGCCAGAGTGAGCCCCATGGCTAAAAATATTTGGTAAACTATCCATCCCAGAAAATTTGGTAATGACGTCAGCGTAAGAGGAGACGTACACTACATGTAAACCGGTGTCAAGTGTCACAAGATCTTGTACAAATTGACACTATCCTGTCAGTTATATAAGCCATCCGTATGAAGATGAATTGACAGCTGTCGAAATCAGGCATCCGCTGACAAATATCAAATGGCCATCTCCCGAGCTCAGATGAAAGAGCGGTCGTTTTGAGGAGAAATTTTGCATTTCAAGCACCTCGCTCGTTTCGGCGGTAAATCGCATGGCCGCGCGGACTTAAAGGGAGAAAAAAAAACAACAACAATAAAGCCGAGTCTTTCTTTAGACTTAATTTTAATGTCTACATTAACGTGGATAACAGGGGAAAAGCTAGTATACTGACTGTATATTTGAACTGTAAGTACCAATTTAGTTGGAAGAAAAACATGAAAATTTTATAGCGGCGCTGAGAAAATGAGAAATGCCAGCTTCCACCAAGGTGAAAGTGAGCAGCAGTGAAAAACCAAAGTGAACAGGAACACAAACATTTCTTCCATAAAACGTGTAACTAGGGAATTTCTGGAAGTTTCACGTTTTAGGGCCTTTTTAAGTGGAGGTGGGGGACCCCAGGTAGCTGAGGTAACCCGCCAGTCCATATAATCCCTCATTTTAATTTGATCACGTTTATATAATAGGTGGGGCGACCCGCCAAGGCGGGTAGCCCGGTATATCAGACCGGATAACCCTCCCAGCTGGGCTCCAATTTTGCCATGTAAACCTTATGGTGGGGTAATCCGCCTACCCGGGGTCGGATTCGTGATACACGAAATTCGCGTAAATTTCACTTTGGCGGCGGCTTTCCATCAGTATTAAATGTAACAATAGAAAGCCACAGCACTGAAAGTTGCAGCTAGAGCAGCAAGTGGGTGTAGAAGAGCACTAATGGCCAAAAGCATAAAAAACGTGGTTTGCCAGCGTTTTTCTTGGTACGTGCTTATTGAACATTCAATAATCTTGAAAAAGTGGATGGCGTGGATGGCGTAGTTATAAGACTGCATGTAAAGGAGGGTTATTTTTTACCTCACCAAAGAGGGTTACAGCACCTACCTAGTCGCGCAAAACAACGGCAAGGAAATGTACAAAAAGGTTTTCTTTTGCTAGTTGTTGTTTGTTTGTTTTTGTTTTTTTTTTGCTAATTATTTACCGTTCTCGTTGTCTTCACCATTTCTTAAGTACTACACGATTTTATATTTTCATGAGGTAAACTATAAATATTAAAGAGAGCTTCGCTTTTAGCCCTGGCTTAATCTATATATTACTTGTAATTCAGGAGCCAGTTCAGCGCGCGCGCTGTAATATCATATTAAACACTTCAAGCCAGTTTTCGCTTGCGAGGTTTTCTCTAGTGTTCTGTTTTGATCGTCTCACGGAATTATCATAATAACATAAGTAAACAACTTTTACCTGAAGGCCTGTCTGCGGCAAGTCATCAACGTTAAGTCGTCTCAACATTTCCCTTTTTTTCAAATGAAGTCGTCTTTGGTAAATGTCAGCGACTTAAGCGAATTCGTAGCTTGCATCATCTCATAATGTTTTACGCGAGCTCGGGTGAATTAACCCGCACTAGCTTCATTTTGCTCCATGATGGACTCCCTTTCTCTAGGGCTGCACGCGAACGTTTGGTACTTTTCATAGGCGCACCACTTACTGTTGGAAGAGTTGCGGTTTTTACGAGCTAAAACAAATTACAAAGACTGAGGATTTTTCGCCCACAGGGATTGCATACACGATCAAAATATACCTCTGGATCATCCAACAAACCCAACCTCACTTGTTTGCAAACGTCCGCAAGCACAATTCCAAACGAATCTTTGCGCTGGGACGGTTTGAACAGATTTTGCGACGATGAATAAAATTGTTTACCGCTGACGTTTTCACGTTAAAAGAGTATTTACAAATCCTACAGCTGTCACTAGGACGCGTTTCCGACATAACGTTTACGCGTACATTGCTAGATTTTTTCGTGTCAATGCCCGGGAAAGCGCCTTTTCAAGCATGCGTGATTGTTACTGTCGGAAGTAACTTGAGGCTTTCGAAAAGAGAAATGAAATCGATTTCCAATGGCTATGTTTGCATTTCCGGAAAAGCAGTCAGGCGCGACTGATTAGGGGGCATTCGGTTATTTCATAGGCTTTGCTGGCGAGCGATTTTTTTTTTTTTCCTGCCTGCCCCTCCCCCCTTTCCTGTCCGTCCTCCTCCTCTTTTTCTTTTGCTTCTCAAGATAACAGCCACGATCAATGAAACTCAGAGTTGCCGCTAAAAAATTCCTCTGCAGGCTAAGGGTGTTGCGGAAAGATAACAAGAGGTTAGTGGGATACAATGAACGTATCAACTGCCAAAAGGTACGCGTTTCGCCAGCGTAGATCGGATCTCAAACGTAACAGCAATTCCTGGACACATGGCACATGAATCAGCTGTATACTGTACACTTTACATGTTCAAAGCAAACATACGATATGGCTTCTAAGCTTTTATTGTATAAAGCTACAATTGCTTTAAGTTTAATAACAGTGACTATAACCAGTAAATACACAAAGGGAAATACACCCTTTTTACAGAAGTAAAACGAAGTACATAGTTTAACAGCCTAACGAGAAAGCAGAAAGGATGAAAATTCACCAAAAACACACGTTAGTTCACCTTGATTCAGCGTCTGCGATTTTTTGAATTCCATGATCTCAGGGGCACAAGCTACGCTCTTTTTCACCAGGGTTCGCACTACCCAGAGAGAGCGAGATTCCGGGAGTTGAAAGACCCAGAATAATATACAAGTTGTTGATTCAAAAACTATTTTCTCACTTAAAAAATAGACAGACGTACATAAAAAAGGATACAACTTCAGACGTGTCTATTCTCCCACTGCATTAACCCGTCACCCACACTAGTCCTACGCGCTTGGTCATCCATGTTAATGTTCACGAGCTTTCTCAGCTTCTCTTAAATGTATTAGCTAAATAACCGAGCTTAAATTGTTTTCTATTTTATTCTTGCTATAGGCGATGGTAATTTGAAAAAGCGTAAAATTGTCTTAGCAGACAGCCTAGTTATGAAATAGACGCTACGATTGGTTACAATCATGTTCAAACTGTTGTCACCCAGCTTAATACTCAGGTGAAGAAAAGTATTATAAATAATATATAAAAAAGTAAAGTAATTACTTATTACATTTAAAAAAAATCACACAACCAAGCAAACAAAAAGTAAAGTCAAAACAAAAGAAAAAGATTGGTAAAAGGAATTGAGCAAATGAACTTTTGAATTATACCGTTCATATTTTCTAAATACATCAACAGTTCCCTGCCAAACCATCTGCTCTACACAGCGCTATTCACTAGAATGGTTACAATGTATTTCTAAAGCTACACTACTACCTAAGATATTTCCGCAATGACTTGAGTCACCTTTTAGCTTCATTTTAGGGGAACCAAATTAAGAAAACAAAACAACAACAACGACTTGGAGGAATGACTTCCATATTTGCAAAGATGAAAGCAAGAATGTTTGGTGTGCTCTCAGCCATAACAACTGATGGCCCCGAGTACAAATAAAATCATTACAGATCGATGAGGGGAAAAGGCAAGTTAGTGTCATTTGCCAGTTGTAGGTAACGGTTTCGGAAAAAGACCCAGACGCGCTTCCCTTTAAGAGAGACTTCCTATGGCCCAAACGAGTAACACGAAATCAAGCAAAGAGCCACGAGTGATTTCTTTTCTCTTCGTCACTTCGTCAATGATTTGAATAAACATTATACGACGTAAACAAGTGGTAGACAATACCTCGACGATGGATGAACACGAAAGGATATTATAGCATATTTGCCTAGTCCGTTATAATTAACAGATAACACCGATTGTCCGCTGGTAACGTTTCAGTCTGCTCTTGGCCGATTTTTCTTCAGTAAGCAGCTAAGAAACTTTCGCAATCTTTGTTTTTTTCTTTAGGAAAATAAGATTTGCAAGTTGAAACTTAATTTCAAGAAAACCGATCATTTACACGCGACGAAGTATATAAAAACGGCCACAGAAATTTCTCAGGTAGTAGCAGAAAAAAAAAGTAATCAAAACTTTCACTCGCGACATTTATGGCAAATACCACTACAAAACATGCTACCAAAAAAAAGAATCTCAGGTGTTAAATTTACGAAAACAGTTAATCCTATAAAATGTTTCAAGTACGTGTTAGATACGAAATTATTCCTAGCAATTGGCATTTAAGACTTCTCTAAGAAAAACAGTTTTTTCTATTCTATAATAATAAGAGGGAAAAATAACTAATTATTGCTGTGACATTGCCTTCGACTGACGTCTACAAAACTTCAACCTTTGGTGCTTGTTTTAGAAGCTACAATAAACTTAAGTTTAAATACCCTCATTTTTAATTAGTTAAAAATATACCAATGAGGAGAATGCGTACGTATGAAAGCAGACTCCCCATACACTACAGTGATAATATCTTCTAGAGCAACCCACAGCCAAACTCTTCAGTAAAGTTATCACCTGGCATAATTGCCATTTACCTCATATTTGGACCCCGCTATATTCCGGCCCTGTCTACACTATAACGTTTTCCAAGGTGTACTGAAACATACTAAAGAACAATAGCAAAACGCAGGGATGCACAGAAAGAAACATTTCGAGCTTGCCATGCATTTGATTTCTTTGTTTGCTAACTAGTAGAAACGTTTTCTTATCTTTTACTAAAAAGTGACACGAGATATTTTATTCTGTTCATCCCTAGCCAGTCACGGTATCTGCGACTGGCCAGACGTCACTAGATCAGTAAGGATCTACACGATCATTGCATATTCAGTCTCAACATATGGCTGAGGTTTCTTGGTTGGAGCGGCGGAATTCCTGGGCATGCTGCTCCCCTGGGCATGGTCTAATTCGGCGTATGTAAGTTCCCCAGGTTGCTGTAGAGAAGATAGTAGACAAACATTTTAACAACTCTTCAGACGGAGCTCTTATTCAAATAATAACTAAGGTGGCCTAGGTAAAGACCAAATACATGTGCTGAGTTTGTTGTTGTTCCTTGTCCTTGTTAGGCGAGGTATTTCCCCCTTTTCCCCTTCACCATTTCTAATTTCCAGTTCGATCCCGAAAGATAAACAAAGAGCCACTTACTAAATTAGCGACTGTGGAAAACGTAAAACCGTTTCCAAATAACGTCGCGTCTGACAGATTTGTGTCCCAAACAATGATTATGCCAATTTCTCGAGACAAAGAAAATATTTACACGGGGAGATAGATCAATGCCCACAGCAATTTTTTGATATAGCACCATGGCCGCCGTTTAATTGTTTTGTAACCTAATATGGCCGCAGTGACGTCATGTAAAAACGACCTACATAACGGCGGCCATGTTGGTATCCCAACCCAACCCTGTCGAAGTCGAACCCTTTTTTTTGTGCAAGCACTTTCTTTTGTTCCATACATTTGTATAGTTACTGACCACTTGATAACAAAACGCCACTAAAATCCGTATTTAGGGGACGGGCCCCACGCAAATGTCCGCAAATTAGGCGTGTCGGAAGGGAACAGGGGTGGCGCAGTGATGAGAGAAATCGCTTCCCAACAATGAATTGGCCTGGTCTCTAAGTACCGGCGTCGATGCCATTTTTAGTAGAGCTGTTGTTGGTTCTCTTTTCTGCTCCAGCTCCAAGAGAAATTTTTTTCCTTTTTTGTTGTGACCAATTCAAATTTCAATCTAATTCATGGTGGTGGTGGCGGTGGTGGTGGTGCAGTAGTGGTAGTGGTAGTGGCACTTAAGTTTCTCAGTTCTGTCAAGTCGTACCCCCTTTAAATAAACTTAATTTCATTTCAAAAGTTTCTTTGTTTAGTAGAGGGGTACCATGAGAGCATGCTCCAATAATTTACCTTACCTTGCTTTTGGGTCTCTCTGATTGATCGTAATTGTTCTGCGAAGCCTTTGACTTTTGTTTTGATTTATCAACCTGCGCGTACACTACGCCAACAGGTTTGTCAGGTTCTTGCCCCTTCTTCTTTTTCTTTGGCTTTTTGCCAGGGGGTTCCTCCGGGCGCCTGGAAGATGATCCGGCAACTTCATATCCACTTCCGTTACCCTCAACGAGTATCCTGAAGGAAAATAAAATCAAGAATGTGTTTTTAGTATGAGCTACCTCGTGAATTGAGTGTGTTTTACATGACCTAATGTACACGTTCCTTTCTAAGCATTACGACTCTAACTATACATCTATTTACTAGGCGAAAAACTAAGAATTTTGTTAGGGCGAATTTACTTTTCAACGACACACAGGATCATTACAGGAAAAAAAAGAAAAAGAAAAATGATTTTTATGGGGAACGCACTGTTGATATATAATAGAGATATATAATAGGACACTCTCCGTCATAAGAAGGTGCCTGAACAATAGAGAGTCAAAGATAACGCTTAAGAACGGAGGGGACGAACTCTTAAATTTCGATGTATGTTTTATTCAGTATTGATCCTTATCTACGATGTATAACGAGATGAAGCTTCACTTCGCGTTTCTTTGTCCACCTGCTCCTTGCATTATTTCAGAGCTAGCCAACACTTGGTGTCCGTTTTAGACGGTTCTCATTCTCCCACCCTTAAAGTAAAATGGAAGGTACAATACCAGTAGCCCCTAGTACAGCAAGCGATATGTGTTCGGAGCTTCGGACTTATTCCAAAACTAAAGGGGAGAGGTGGAAACTGGAGGCCCTACACTGGGTCCGCTACTGCGCCACAGAAATATGGCTTGTAAATCATAGTGATAACGTACTCTGTCTCATAAGTGCGAAGAGGCTTCTTAGGAGCAGTCCTAGGCATACTGTTTCCCTGTTCAACAACAGCATAGGTGATATCTGCGGTTTTCTGTAGCAAACATACAATAATATTAACTCTGAGTGACTGGTCCCGGGGGGAAAAATTTTGTCCTCTGAAAATCTCAATAACTTGTTGGTTCCTCACGGTACCAAAGACCGAAGGATTTTTTTTGAGGCACAAGAAGACGATTCCATGTGAAATTAAAGAAGTGGTCACCATTTGAGTGTAACAGCGCGTTGTAGTTGAACAAGGCCCATAAAGGGAGTGTAGGGATGACTAATGTTTGGAAAAAAATATTGGAATACGGTATATTTCAAAACGAAATATTGGGATATTCAACATAAACTTTCTTGACAAGATTTCGTTAAGGTTGGATTAATGAAGATTACATTCCAAAGAAATAACCAACATACAGAGATCAATAATTCATAGAACCTATTGCGGTCGAGGCTATCAATGCAAGGCGGTTGATACACTATAGATGAACAAGTGACGAAAGTGAGGAGACCATATGCCCAAACCCCTCTCTCTCCCCTTCCCCCTACCTCCCAAGTAAAACAACAAGATCTGGAAAAAAGTTGCGAAGCCTAAACCCAACGTCTTTAGTGGTCTGTTTCAGTGCAGCATGGAAATTCCACATTGTACTTGTTTCGAGACAGTAGGAAATTCCAGAGCACAATATTATCCAAAAAAATGACAGTGCTTCAGTTATACTTATTCAATTTTAATCAATGCAAAAGAAACTATTCTGTGAGGAAAACAATCAGGTACCTCCGGGCTCGCAGACGATGAATGAGTGTTGTTATATCCATTGTTGCCATGACCACCCTGGATTTGATTCCTGCAAAGAGTGTAACCACACAATAGAACATAAATTATTAGTGTGATAATATCTTCTAGAGCAACCCACAGCCAAACTCTTCAGTAAAGTTATCACCTGGCATAATTGCCATTTACCTCATATTTGGACCCCGCTATATTCCGGCCCTGTCTACACTATAACGTTTTCCAAGGTGTACTGAAACATACTAAAGAACAATAGCAAAACATAGGGATGCACAGAAAGAAACATTTCGAGCTTGCCATGCATTTGATTTCTTTGTTTGCTAACTAGTAGAAACGTTTTCTTATCTTTTACTAAAAAGTGACACGAGATATTTTATTCTGTTCATCCCTAGCCAGTCACGGTATCTGCGACTGGCCAGACGTCACTAGATCAGTTAGGATTTACACGATCATTGCATATTCAGTCTCAACATATGGCTGAGGTTTCTTGGTTGGAGCGGCGGAATTCCTGGGCATGCTGCTCCCCTGGGCATGGTCTAATTCGGCGTATGTAAGTTCCCCAGGTTGCTGTAGAGAAGATAGAAGACAGACATTTTAACAACTCTACAGACGGAGCTCTTATTCAAATAATAACTTAGGTGGCCTAGGTAAAGACCAAATACATGTGCTGAGTTTGTTGTTGTACCTTGTCCTTGTTAGGCGAGGTATTTCCCCCTTTTCCCCTTCACCATTTCTAATTTCCAGTTCGATCCCGAAAGATAAACAAAGAGCCACTTACTAAATTAGCGACTGTGGAAAACGTAAAACCGTTTCCAAATAACGTCGCGTCTGACAGATTTGTGTCCCAAACAATGATTATGCCAATTTCTCGAGACAAAGAAAATATTTACACGGGGAGATAGATCAATGCCCACAGCAATTTTTTGATATAGCACCATGGCCGCCGTTTAATTGTTTTGTAACCTAATATGGCCGCAGTGACGTCATGTAAAAACGACCTACCTAACGGCGGCCATGTTGGTATCCCAACCCAACCCTGTCGAAGTCGAACCCTTTTTTTTGTGCAAGCACTTTCTTTTGTTCCATACATTTGTATAGTTACTGACCACTTGATAACAAAACGCCACTAAAATCCGTATTTAGGGGACGGGCCCCACGCAAATGTCCGCAAATTAGGCGTGTCGGAAGGGAACAGGGGTGGCGCAGTGATGAGAGAAATCGCTTCCCAACAATGAATTGGCCTGGTCTCTAAGTACCGGCGTCGATGCCATTTTTAGTAGAGCTGTTGTTGGTTCTCTTTTCTGCTCCAGCTCCAAGAGAAATTTTTTTCCTTTTTTGTTGTGACCAATTCAAATTTCAATCTAATTCATGGTGGTGGTGGCGGTGGTGGTGGTGCAGTAGTGGTAGTGGTAGTGGCACTTAAGTTTCTCAGTTCTGTCAAGTCGTACCCCCTTTAAATAAACTTAATTTCATTTCAAAAGTTTCTTTGTTTAGTAGAGGGGTACCATGAGAGCATGCTCCAATAATTTACCTTACCTTGCTTTTGGGTCTCTCTGATTGATCGTAATTGTTCTGCGAAGCCTTTGACTTTTGTTTTGATTTATCAACCTGCGCGTACACTACGCCAACAGGTTTGTCAGGTTCTTGCCCCTTCTTCTTTTTCTTTGGCTTTTTGCCAGGGGGTTCCTCCGGGCGCCTGGAAGATGATCCGGCAACTTCATATCCACTTCCGTTACCCTCAACGAGTATCCTGAAGGAAAATAAAATCAAGAATGTGTTTTTAGTATGAGCCACCTCGTGAATTGAGTGTGTTTTACATGACCTAATGTACACGTTCCTTTCTAGGCATTACGACTCTATAACTATACATCTATTTACTAGGCGAAAAACTAAGAATTTTGTTAGGGCGAATTAAGTTTTCAACGACACACAAGATCATTACAGGAAAAAAAGAAAAACAAAAATGATTTTTATGGGGAACGCACTGTTGATATATAATAGAGATATATAATAGGACAGTCTCCGTCATAAAAAGGTGTCTGCACAATAGAGAGTCGAAGACAACGCTTAGGGGACGAACTCTTAAACTTCGATGTACGTTTCATTCAGTATTGATCCTTATCTACGATGTATAACGAGATGAAGCTTCACTTCGCGTTTCTTTGTCCACCTGCTCCTTGCATTATTTCAGAGCTAGCCAACACTTGGTGTCCGTTTTAGACAGTTCTCATTCTCCCGCCCTTAAAGTAAAATGGAGGGTACAATACCAGTAGCCCCTAGTACAGCAAGCGATATGTGTTCGGAGCTTCGGACTTATTCCAAAACTAAAGGGGAGAGGTGGAAACTGGAGGCCCTACACTGAGTCAGCTACTGCGCCACAGAAATATGGCTTGTAAATCATAGTGATAACATACTCTGTCTCATAAGTGCGAAGAGGCTTCTTAGGAGCAGTCCTGGGCATACTGTTTCCCTGTTCAACAACAGCATAGGTGATATCTGCGGTTTTCTGTAGCAATTATACAATAATATTAACTCTCAGTGACGGTTCCGGGGGGAAAAATTTTGTCCCCTGAAAATCTCAATAACTTGTTGGTTCCTCACGGTACCAAAGACCGAAGGATTTTTTGTGAGGTACAAGAAGACGATTCCATGTGAAATCAAAGAAGTGGTCACCATTTGAGTGTAACAGCGCATTGTAGTTGAACAAGGCCCTTAAAGGGAGTGTAGGGATAACTAATATTTGGAAGAAATATTGGAATATGGTATAATATTTCAAAACGAAAGACTGGGACATTCAACTTAAACTTTCTTAACAAGATTTCGTTAAGGTTGGATTAATGAAGATTATATTCCAAAGAAATAATCAATATATAGAGATCAATAATTCATAGATCCTATTGCGGCCGAGGCTATCAATGCAAGGTGATTGATACACTATAGATGAACAAGTCAGGAAAGTGAGGAGACCATATGCCCAAACCCCTCTCTCCCCCTTCCCCCTACCAGGTTTCGTTTTTAGGAAATTTATCAAAGAAGACAGATTATTTTGCAGTTTCGGAACTGGAAGTTTATGGCCGAAATTGTATTTGCCCAACAAGATCTGGAAGAAAGTTACGGAGCCTAAACCCAACGTCTTTTGTGGTCTTTTTCTGTGCAGCATGGAAATTCCATATTGTACTTGGTGCGAGACAGTAGGAAATTCCAGAGCACAATATTATCCAAAAAAATGACAGTGCTTCAGTCATACTTATTCAATTTTAATCAATGCAAAAGAAACTATTCTATGAGGAAAACAATCAGGTACCTCCGGGCTCGCAGACGATGAATGAGTGTTGTTATATCCATTGTTGCCATGACCACCCTGGATTTGATTCCTGCAAAGAGTGTAACCACACAATAGAACATAAATTATTAGTGCGGACTCGAACTACTGTATGTTGTCTCCAAAGGGTGTTCCAACTAACATCCAAGCACTTCCAGGTCGTCTTATAGTGTGACCACTGCAACCGGGGCCACCTAGACAAAGTTAACCAATCCCATCACAGGAAAAAAATGCATTCCAAGAAAGCTGGTTGAGGGCCAATCAGCAGCTCGTAAAAAAAACACAAAACAAAACAAAACAAAAAAAGGCACTAAATAAAAATATTGATAGCAAACGTTTTTGAAGAAAGCAAAAAGCTTCACAAGACTATGTTCCTCTATTCGAAACTTTACATATAACACCCAGAAGACATTTGTTTCACACAAGCTGTTATTTTGTCACTAACCAGCAATTTCTTCGCTACCATTGTCCCATGGTACAATAAACATGCGACCGCAAGACAAAAATATGATCAACGTTTACAGTTTTGCCTCCGTCAATACTCTAACGGACTTCTCAGGAAACAGGCTTTTTTCAGCGGGTTGCAATTGGTTGACTTTGATCCATGTTGTTGATCTCATTTCGTGGTAATTATGATTGACAACTAACTTTCTCGGAATCACGAATGTATTGTTATTTTCCTGTCATCCAATTGGTCAACTTTGTCTGGGTGGCCACGGTTATAGTACTCGCACTGTAAAACGTTTAAGATAATAAAGCACATTTAACACCGTAAAACATTTTAAGGTAACGCTTTCGGCGCTAACCCTTCCATATTGCTTTGACTAGGAACTAGCGCTCGAAACCTCTTTCCCAACCCCAACGTCGCAGTACAATGTTCTTTTCAAACTAACCCCTTGGTTCCTCCTTTCAGTTCAACCCTCTTCTCGCTATCTGCGGGTGGGAGTGCGCTAAGCAATACATATAACCATAAGGGCTTTCACATAACTATAAGAATGAACAATGATATACTCACATCTGTTGGCCTCCTTTATTTTCATCACCGACTTCTTTCCACCATGCAACAAAAAGCAAAGACAAGAAGCACAGATAAATACAGCCAAAATGTTAGTATCCCTCTGTTTTCCTCAAATCGGAGAGTGGTTTTAAACTTAACTTTGTAAATCCAAACTCTACATTCTTAAGTTGGTCAATTGCAACAGACATAAACAATCTTAGACCAACCGGAAAGGTCATAACGCAGAGCAAAGGACATATCTCTTTGTGCTGGCTTTTTAATGCGCGCAACAAAAAATTTGAGGCAAATTTTGGCAATGTCGGTCTGACCGGGACGGCAGGGGGGGGGGGGGGGGGG